GCCCCGACTGGAGATGATGAGGGGCTCGGTGTGTCGCGTCCCGGGCACTGTACTCTCGGGCCGGCGGCTCCACAGCCGAGCAGAGTTGTCGATGCAGCTCCCGCGACCAGCGCGACTGGAGGGCGGGAGAGTCGCTGCGGAGGGGGCGGCGGCGGCGGCGGCGAGCGGGAACCCGACCGGCTCCCCGACCTGACGCCCAGTTCGGCTCGTGTCTCCGGAGGGAGGGCGGGAGAGCCGCGAGGGCTGTCGGGAAATGTAGTCTGGGGGCGACGTGAACCCGACGGTGAGGGGGCGTGGCGCGGGAGCGGGGCATTGTGGGAGTCGTAGTCCCCCGTTCCGCGGCTGAGGCGCACAAAGGTCCCCTCAAGGACTCCAACCCCCAGAGAGCCCCGCGGAGGCTGCCCGGTCTACAGAGGCGGTGGCTCCGGGACCTGAGACCTCCGGAGCGGGGGAGGTGCGGGGGCTCGAGCCGGCTCGGCGATGGGGGAGGGGCGGTGCGAGCGGTAGCGCCTCGGTCTCCGCGGTGGCGGGGGAGGTCAGGGGTCGCCGGCTCGGCGATGGGGGAGGGGCTGACGGCCTTGGTAGCGATGGGCGGCGGCGGCTGCCGCCTCCTCTTTCGCCTTTGGGATTTGGGGTCTGTGTCCCTTTGTGGGGCTGGGGTCCCCACGGCCCAGGAGGGGGCGCTGGGCGCTGACGTCGCAGCCGCCGCACGGCTGAATCCCCGCGCCCTGGACCGGGCGGAGCGAACTTGTTTTCGCGGCTGTGGCTTTTCTGGCCGGCTCTTCCTTGCCCTGGGGGTCCGGGACGGCGGACCGAGACCAGGCGGGGTGGGACCGCCCTAGTCTCCCCAGTAGGAAACACTGCGAGGTGTCGGGTTACCACCGCATTTTTAAAAACTACACCAGTGTTGCTGGTGTTTGAGAAGATGTTTGCTTTAAATACGTTTTTCCCCTCTTCGCCTGACCTTGAGACCACTCCTGTTTTCTCACTTTGCCTTGAATTATTTCCTGAATATATTCCTCACAGGATTACAACAGTGGGTGAGGCGAAAACCTGATAGAGATATTTGGTGTTGACAGTGACTTTGTTTACCCATATTTAATTGAGGAGTTGGCAGTGTTTAAATGCTGCGCCGCAGAGTATTTTACAACTTTGTATGTTGAAGGTTGATTGACTCTGAACACTTAGTTGAAAATTAACTGCTCTTCTAAACTTCCCATGAGGAGGCCTCACGTACTTAAATTATTTTTAATAACCATTTGAAAGGAAAAAAAATTCTGTATACGAAATGCAAATGATTCAATCGCATATTTGGTAGCTTCGAAGACAAAGAAGCTGTTAAAGAGGAGTGACATAAAATTTTAAATTCAAATCAGAAAAGTGACTCATCTGCATGTATATCAGAGCTATGACCGGAAGAACCCCTAAAAGATGAGATTCTTTCCGAGGTAGTGAGTGCCACATTGGTTGGCTCTTGCTATTTCGGCGGTTAAGATAATTCTGATGGAAACAGTGGTTAAGAGACTGACTTATCTTAGAAATACTTCTCTAAGCCTCAATTACCTTAGCTATAAAATGTGTAACTTGCCTCAATAAGTAGTAGTTTACTTTTATGACTGTTGCCACTTTTTTCAAAATATTATTTTAGCAAGATCTTCAAAGATTGGAGGGCTCCCCAGAGGTGACAGCAAATTGAGGTGCTTTACAAAGCTGGTAAGAAAAAAACAGACATTGGATTTAGCCTGTGGAAACATCATTAACGTCTTCTTGCAGACTTGTCACATTCAGATGCTTTAGCCAGATTTGGAATGTTTTCTGATCAGTGAGGCCAGAGCAGATGTCCTGAGGTAAGCCAATGCTGCCCAGGGTCAGACTCACCCAGGGTCAGACTCACCCAGGGCAACTTGTTTTGCCTGAATACGAAAGGGCCAAGAAGGACATTATCCTATTGGTAGTTTAAGGGTGTAAATACTCCAATAATTATTGGAGGCAAAGTCCAAATGAATAAAGAGGAATTTTTAAAAATTGATCATTATTCCCTCTGGTATAATTTTGCACGTAGTAAACATTAAATTCCCCCACCCACCCACCTAATTAAGAAACTGAAATAAAGAACTTGTTCATAGTCATAATGGGCTTGATGACAAAAGAGCCTAGAATTCAGGGACCTATATTGGACCACTCAGTCATACTAAGAAAATCCCAAACTTGGATTCTGTCATGTGACAGTGATAACTCTTGCTCAGAATAGGTATCCAATAGTTATTTCTCGAGTAAGTTCTTAGTACACAGAGGCGACCAGTACACCCGGTGTACTCTGCTTGTCTCCCTGCCTGCCACTCAGGTGAAATAGAAAACTTCATGGAGGAAGCCCTTTGTCTCTCCTTCCTTTGATTTCCCTTAGAAATTTAGCCCTTTGGTTTAGTTGTTAATATCTGTCATCCCTTCCCTAGCCTGAGAGAGGACTGTAACACCAATAATTGACCCAAATTCAATAGCATAATATGTAGCTGTGAGGATAATAAAGCTAGTTTTCTCTGTATGACAGGCTTAGGTTTCTTCAACATATTTAGTTTATTTCTCAGGTATACTGTACCACTCCTGGGCTCCAGGGGGCAAATCTAGAATCCCAAGATCAATGCAACAGCATTAGCCACAGTAGCCAGATCCTTGTTTTCTGCTTTAAAAAGCAAAAAACAAAAAAACACCTGCTGCTGAATGCTAACTGTCAGATGATTATAGTTACTCAGGAAAGAGGAAGAAAGAAGCCAACATTAGCACAGGTTATGACAAGTTTCAAAATACTAACAATGGTTTCCCAGTAAGTAGCTTGAGAATGTAGTTCTTTTAATTGGGTTACCAAATATAGTTTCACCTTCCTAAATCTCACTAGCTACACTGCAGTCACTTGGGGAAAATTCAGGAATGCTTTCTGCCTCCGTTTTAACTCTCTGTGCTTGAGTGTAGTTATAAACATAACCAAAGGTTTATTTTTCCTGGAATTATTTTTTGGTGCTTCAGCTTTTTGTTCGGTTTAATAGGATATTCTTATGGATTTTTCCTATCTTCAGTTTTCTGCCTTTCTCACTCCTATTTCCAGGAGAGGAAAATAAGTGAAAATTCCTCAAAACTGTATTGTTTTCAATTTTTAGTACCTTGACTGCTGTATGAATATACATATGTGTGAATAAAAAAAATTTTTAATAAAAAATAACAAAAAGAAGAATATATGGGTGAATAATTTTAAATCATTAATAAATTTCTAAACTAAGTATTGTCAACTTTTCATATAGTGAGGAAAATTACCTGTGCATAGAAGAGTCAAATGAATTTCTCGTGTTATGGTTTATACAGGTAAAATATAAAGATTAATAGCTAACCCTATGCGCCAAACTATTTAAATGTTTTTACTTGCAGTATATCATTTACATATAATAATGCACTTAATAGAGAATACTGTAACATTCCTTGAAGGAAAAAGTTTGTATGTAGTAAAGCGCATATTACAAACCACACCTTAGGCAGCCCAGAATCAGAAAAAATCAGTGTGTGATACGAAAAAGATGCAGTCTCTTTTTGACTCTATAAATGCTATGGTATGTGTTCCTGTATGCTCTCAAAGAAAGGGAAAAGGATGTAACAGCAGCTTTTAAAATTATCTGTTACCTCTTGTCCTGTCTGCCTAAAATCATAATTCAAATATCAAAATTAAGTAGTTTTCATTTTTTTAATGAAACAGTACCATTATTTGTTAATTCACATTGTATTACATTATCATAAAGTTACTTAGACAAAGACCGTTTTCATGATTATAGAAGAGGTACACTTCTAAAACTCTCATGGCTCAAGTTCAGTCTTTAAATCCATTTTCTCACAGACTATTGCTTGTTGGCTAGAGTTAACACCTTCCTCACCAAACAATGGTGTTTCCACCATGCCAGGGTGTTGGATGATATTTGAGAAGTTTAAATCCCCTTAGTTAATACAGTTTGCTGACTGTATCCATCACATTGTCATACTGCAGTGAATGAATTTCGCACATTCCATTTTGAACACATGAGATTAATGAGCAAAAAAAAAAAGGGAACTAAATAGCATGCTTGGGTTAGCAGGTTATTCAAAATTCCAAACACAGCTGATAAGTCTAAATCTGTTCCTTTCTTTTCTAACCACATTCCTTTATTGACTTAGATATATACACATGGCTTCAAATAACCTGTTAGGTCTGGGCTATTAATAATATACTTTTTTTCCTCAAGAACTGAACTTTTTATTTTGAACTTTTAATATTTCTTTAATACACAGGGTATATATGTTTAGTACAGAAAGACAGAAAATGCAGACAAGCAAAAACAACAAAACAAACCTAGCCACCTAGAGAAAATGTTACCTTCACAGTTTTTTGGTAGGCATACGAACACATATAACAAATGGGGCACGGGTTTGATCCCTGGTCAGGAAACTAAGATTCCGCATGCTAAGATCCTGCATGCACCGCGTGGCCAAAATAAAAATAAATTAATTAATTAACAAATGGGGTGATACTATGGGTAATCAGATTGTTTGCTGGACATTATAACATGAACATCTTTCCATTTCAATAAATATTGCATCATTATTCTTCAGAGTAAGGCTGAAACATGAGTTAAATAACCCCCTGCTGTTAGGAATACATAAAACTGGACTCGGTTCTTAACTATAGAAACATTTAAAAGATTTGATTTATACCAGGTGGATGAGTTCTGACCCAGAGGGACTGTAGTACTTTTCCCT